AGCACCCACCTCTTCCATGCGTCCCTGATGCGCGACTTAGCATGGTTTAACCCTACAGGCACCCACCCCTGCTTTGCCTACGGCGAACGACGCAAGGAGCACGAACGGTCCACGTGTACCCGTCAAACGAGAAGGCAACAGTTTTTGTTCGTAATCATGCTTCCGCATGTGCTTGCGAAGCAACGGCCCTGATTTGTAACTTAGCCATATTTGGCTACCACCCCTTGCGCTTGGCGCGCTGGACCTTATTTCGGAAGTCTGTGCTGTCATGATGTGTTTCGTTGTGAGCTCGCTGTGCCCTGATCTGGAAACAGTGCTCGTGAGCGGTGTCCATGATGAAATCATGGTCAAGCATACTGGCAAACCTGACTCTTAGGGATGTGTCATTCATGGTACTAAAGAGGGGAGGATGGTTTTGCACAGCTCCCAAGTAGTTTATAATCTCCCTTAAGTACATAGAATATGGAATTACCCAATAGGCCCAATATCATAATAAGATCCCCCCAAAACTGTATTCTATTCACTCAAGGGAGAATACACTTGAATGGCTGCTGCACAATACACGGAATCCTAACAGAATCCCACAGGAACTGCTTAAGATCTCTCAGCAGGGCTCAATTTGACTAATACTGTTCCTTGGACATCCTCTTCAAGCCTTTGTGAGACGTTCCTGTCTGCTGTTGTCACGGAACATTACATTCCCTTAAAAGCTAAAAATGTGTCTGGTCTTCCTGGTACTAGAAATGACGGCAAGCGCCAAGCACCAATTTATCTCAGCATAAGCTCTCATCAAGCTTTAGTTAATCGCGGATAAGTTGTCAAATTGATTTTTGGTAGGCGCCAAAAAAAGATATAACGACGCCGAAACCATTCGCCATTATCATTCTAAGCACCTTTCCAATAATCTAAATATTAATATGGAACATCTCACGCAAGGTTCGTAAGTCGTAGTTAACGGCGGAAAAACAACCGCGGTGATGTTCCATCGCTGTTGGGGTCTGTTGCTGAGATAATGAAAACCAAGAAATATTCCCCAAAGGGTCCAAGGACCCAAATAATCTAAGGTTCTAGGGCCCAAATACTATTATTCATGGTATTCTGGCCCTATATCATTAATGGTAGTTTGGCCCTATGATTTGGGTCCTTGGACACTTAGGGATCTTCAAAAAGGACCCAGGAAGCCAAGGTTTCTGTCACTTTGTTGACTTTAGGTTTGAGGTTTTGGTTGGTAACGAGGCTTAGTATATCAAGTTCAGAAAGCCGCTCAGGGATGAGGTTTCGGGTCTAGGGTAAACTTTCGGCTCTAAGAATCAACGGCTTTCTTCCTTTTGGGAAGCGTGACGGGCCAAGCTTCTCATTCAGAAATCTGTAAGGATCCTAGTATACAAGTAATACCTAGATTGGTCCCTAAAGTCCGTACATAGTACCTACATGGGGCTATTTGCATGCCTAAGAATGTTCTGTAGATACATCACGAAGGCCCTTTGGCAGAAGTGGGGACAATGGCTCATCAGCAAGAACCCTAAACCCTAAACCCTGACCCCTACACCCTAAACCCTAAACCGCACAATCCCAAAAGACAGAGTTCTGCCGGCAAGATGGATTCGCCTAAACTGACGTTGTCAATTGCGACTTCGGTACCCCTGGCACTCCTAGCCGTCTCCCATTCTTGATTTAATCCCCTTCTCTAATAGTGAAAATGCCCGCCCCTTGTAAAGCACCCATACGCCATCAGCAAGATAATCTGGCTACATTCTCACACTCTTATCACCCATTATCTGGCCTTTGCCTAATCCCCCGAAACCTACTTATAACCACTCCGTGCCTTTGAGCTGAAAGCCCTACTTCCGAATATAATCCCCTCCACGCGGTTTAGGGTTTAAGGTTTACGTAAGATTTAGGGTTGCATTCAACTCCCCAAACCCCCCTTCACCATGAAAAACTCACTGATGTACAATATCAGAAAATAGCACGGTACTATGGATGATGCAAAATCTCTCTTCACAATGTGGGAAATACAGGAGGAATATCCATCCTAATTGACGGTTGGTTCATGGGTGCTCTGAGTAAAGGCTGCATGCCTCAAATCAGCCTTTCAACTAATAATTACTGTATACCTGACACTACATACTGAACCCTAACCCGCCCCACACCCTACCCGTTCTCCAGGAAAGTAACCCTGCTTGAAAGTTATGGGTTTAGGCTTTGGGGTGCTGAACTAAACAACTGGCTCTTTACTGCTCACAGCATGCGACGGCTAAAAAAACACACACACACACAATCCTACTTCATGTTGCGCACAAAAAATACGGCTGTTTACAGTACGATCCACTTGAACTAGGGGAATTTTAGTTGCACCAGCCAGTCATATGATGTATTCCACTTGTAGCCCAAGCGCAGAGCCATCGCTAAGAAGGCACAGGAGACGTAGTGGTTGATGGCAAGGACTACGGCGAGACTTCCTCAATCAAGGTTGCGATAACTTGGCCCCAATTGCTTCAGGATAGAAAAGAGGGTTTACGGTTTAGGGTGCAGCCCTGTAAATCAGCTCATATAATATCATCCCAAACCCTTAGCCGTTGCAAAATCTCTCAATCACGGCTATGAGCCCGTTATGCATCACTGAATCGGAAAAACTTCCGTTGTGACCCAAGGGTCAGAGCCCTGAGGACACCTGCTCCCAAAACCTCATAAATACCAAAGTCCAGGGTTGAGCGTCTGGGGGTTTAGGGGTTATGGTCAATTGTAATGAGCTCGCGCTTCAGTTGTTGGGAGATCACTTCCTGCATACACTTGTGCCTTGCTGTAGGCCCACCCAACACAAAACTACCTTCTTTTCTCCATCAACGCGTTTGATTTTCCTACATCAGACTGACTAACTAACAAAACTTGAAGGAATGGATCATTCTGGTAGGGTCTATAAAAATCCGTAATAACATGGTAGCTTCCACCTTCTTTTCCATTCCTTCGTTCCTTCAGGGCAAAGCAGAAGCGAGGTTAGTAGTTACTTGCTCCAGATGTTGAAGCATGCCCGGCACCCTACGGCCCTGAGGGGCTCCCTCTGTTTATAAGCTCCCAGACATATGAACTATAGTCTAAACTCATAGTATCCTCCTTAAAAGGCCTTGTTCTACTGCCCTGCATGATCCCTTCATACACCCCTTTAAGGAGTCTAGGCTATAGCTCATATTAATCCCCACCCCTCATATATAAACCCCGCAACCCCCCTAATATTAAACATTCCCATTTGGGCATCTTATAATAATGTATGGGGAATATATGATGTTAGAGGGGTGGCAGGGTTGTAGTAGTAGAGGAAGTGATTGTATATCAGAGGGTGGGAGAGGTGCTTGATTTCATATGACTGTTCACACAGCAAGTAAAGCAATCTTGCACAGCAATGAGCATGTGTGTATATATGTATGCATATATAGCCTATCTCTTGGGAGCCCTTGCGCGCCGGGGATTCTACATTGCGCAAGACTTCCTCTATCCGGGTTTGGGGTTTTCTATTTTCAGAGCTGCTGTAGTCCTATCATTGACCTTTTGCAGCTGCATCCTCTGAGGCCTTCTTCTCGGAACTGCATATGGGTGGTTGTCAAAATTATGGTCCCTTTTTGGATCCCTACTATAATACGGCACCTAATATTCAGGGTACCCAAAAAGGGACCATAATTTTGACAACCACCCATATGTTGCTGGCGAAGGTCTCACTATCTTGATGGTCAGGAGGAAGCTGTCAGTCTTCACACGGTCCAGCAAATCGTCCTCACATAACATCCCGAGTCAGAGTTCAAGAATCAAAGCACACCCTACACCCTAAACCACTACCAGCCCTACCACTCCCCGAATGAACATGCTATTGTTTCTAAACGCTCTCGTTCAGACAATGACGGTCGCACATGTTGTGTAACCGCTTCTGTTCGTGCAGAATACTGGGAGGATCTGGCTTCCAAGGCATTACATCAGATGTTGTGGAAAATGCCTTCGTGTGCAACTCCTACCAAGGTCACGAGCCTTGAGGGTTATCGGGTTGATGCTGCCTGCCAGGTAGATTTAGACGTGACTCTTGCCGCCCACAAAACCAGACCCTGAATGATGCATCAAAAACTCCCAGATGGTGTGTGTGTGTGTGTGTGTGTGTGTTTTTTTCCCGATCTGTTTCCGGAACATGACGTCAACAAGAATGACGATGTGGATGCCTATGGAACTGCAAAAGGTTTGCAGAAGATTCTCAACATCACCATGTGCGATATGAATAGGTGTTGCCAGATCCCCAACATACCTATTGAGTTTCGATAGTCTCCAAAAGATCCGGAAGATGAGCCTACGGAACTCCATACGGTTTTCGGAAGATTCCCAAGATTATCTTAAGTTCAATTGTAGCTGACCTTCTTGTGCTGTTGAGCAATGCCACTGCAACGTTTACGTCTGCTGTAGATCATGCCAATGAATGTGATACCAGTGTTTGAACCAGGGATTCGTGCCATAACCCGTTCCAGACCAGAACTTGATTTTCGTGCAGCATGACGGACGCGTTTTTGTTGCATATTGGGAGGGCCGCTATTTTGGCGATCTTGTAAAATTGTAAGACCTCAATCAAAGAACTGCAATGTTGATCATGCAATTTATGAAGACCAAATGCAACAAGTCAGTCAGACTGGTTAGCGAAGCATGATCCTCTTTTTGGTCTGGACTGGAGGGGTCCGGACGGAAGTCGAGAACCTGTTCCGGATGTCGGGATCGGGGTCTGGATTGGAAAGTGTGTTCTCTCTTGTTCCGGACCAACCATACTCAGTAGTAGTCTTACAAACTCGCTGCGAATCCTAGCACATGCTAGCACAACCAGTTGTATCCTCGTGTGATCCCTATGTACAATCTAAAAGCTCAGTAAACATTCACATGCAATCCCTACAAAACTTCTGCAAACAAATCACCACACGATGCCTACATGATGCCAGCAAAGTAGTGACGTCCACCACATCGTTTGGTAGCCGCATTGCGAGACAATAATGACATCCATAGTCCTAAACATAAAGCCACAGTACTTATCGCAGGGGACTGTAGGATATTACCTGGCTATGACCTGGGTTCCCCTAATGTAGACCCCTGATTAATAAACCCCCTCCTTTCAAGGGCCTTAATCGTAGGATCTCTAGTATAATCCCTATTAAGGGGAGGGGGTTTATTAATCAGGGGTCTACATTACCTAGCTCCACCGAGGGGCCACGAGGTGCCACATCTTATGGAGACGGAGGAGGCGTGCAAAGCGCATCAGGCGAAGGGCCTGAGGTTGCTGCACAAGATAATGTCAAGAGTTCAATTATAGTATGTACTTAGAGCCAAAAGAGGGTTCCCACATCACTACTTTGGGTCCCAAGTATATTCTATACCTACATGTCATCTTTTGGCTAATTTGGACGTTCGGAGCCCTTCCGCAGAGTACCTCTGCGTGGTATGATCAGAAACGAATGTCCTTTCGACAATGATGGAAAACATTCTGACCTTTCTTACTGTATACGCATAATTGCTGGAGCGCTTAAACCCTAAACCCATGTGCAAGCTTCGGATTAAGAGTTGCATGTCTAAGAACTTAAGGTTCAGCAACGCCGGCGTGTTGCACCTGTGCATGTTCTACATCAGGTCTGTAATGCCCGTGGAACCGGAAAAATGCCTAAGGCATTGGAGAGTCACAAAGCAAGGAAGCTTCAGGCAAGTTGATTGAGCAGACGTTAATAAGCACACAACATTCATCTCGTGTCTTGCTTCAACGGCAACGGACATTCTATGTAAGTACAGAACTCGAAGGAGCATATGTTTTTTTGGTGCTCGTATCAATGAGGCTGTGAAACGTGCCGCCCTGTCTTGCGTGCAAGAAACTCGAGCAATGCGGAACGAAGGCAGAGAGTCCTGAAATAACAGGTGCACACAGTTGAGGGTTAATTACATACAGATTTGTATGGACTATACCTACTAATTAGGAGGGGTAATTAAACACTACTACGTACCTGTAGGTACAGAGTGATACGTAGTGTCTGCTGCGGGCCAGTCCACGGGCTTAAACTTGAACATGCAATCAGGATGCATCAGCTTCCACTAAGAGGGGGGAACGCCCAAGTCAGACCCCAATAATTTGAATTGCATTTTCGCTTAAGCTATAGCTGCCCTCCTGAATCCCAGACTTACAAAACAACAGGCCTGAATGGCTTAAGAGCTGTTTTGTACTGAAAGAGTCGTAGGTCTCTATATGGTACAAAGTTGGGCTTCAGTACTCGGAACTAGTAATATGGTCTAGGTTGCTATCTCCTACATAGGTACAGAGGGTCCTTTTGGGTAGGCATATCTTCGCAAGCCAGAAGGCAGATGCTTTTCACTAGGGCTCCAAAATCAAAGCTTCTAGGCTCCAGGGTGCAATGAACGAATCATTTGTAGACTTGGAACCGGGAGAGGGGCAGCGGAACCTCAGAAGGGGCAGTGGAACCTCAGGAGGGGCAGTAAAACTAGGCATCAAACGCTGAGGCTCATCGCCCTCAGTGGAAGAGCTGACGCCAAAGACGATGAAGATGACAATGTCCAGACTTAGCACCTAAGATCTGCAGTTGACCAAAAATTAGGGGTACCTTCTTGGGGATCCCAAGAATAAGGATGATACTATATTGGGGTCTACTTAGGGTGCGCCCTTAACTACGGAAACAACCATTTTCACATAGCGACACTGCAATCCAACACTGAGACAATGAACAGTAAAGCAGAACCATGCTCTTGCAAGACTCAATTGACTCAATCCTGAACCCCCAGCCATTAGCCCCAAAGCATGAAAGCTAAGACCGCAACCCGCTGCCAGTAGTGTGCAACTAGAGCACTTGCACTCGAACAGCTTTGACAATACGGTGCAGACAGATAGGGTGGCACGGGACGTCAGGTGTAAGGCTTTGAAAAGCTTGGGGTTTAGGGTTAGGTACACCCGCACCAAAGACCCGTCTGCCTGCAGTGTCCAAGGCTACTTGAGCGTTCATGGGAGGGGGCGGGGGCATGCTAAGTGGGCTGCAAGTTCTCCCAACAACGTTCCAGATGTAGTTCCCCACGTAAAGCTACCCATAAGATTTCAGGTACGAAATTGGTCTGCAAAGAGTTGCATGTTGTGATCGGCCAACAACGATACAACACATGCCAGACCTCTGTCATGTACGGGCCGAAATAATGAGAATAGTGCTGTGAGACATCGGATACTATAGTTCTAGTCTAAGGATTCAACATTAGCAGTTTCTCAGGCTTCTACTTTACTGTCCTGGCTGTGTTAGCAAACCGCCATCTATATAACAAGGCTGTTATGATGGAAGCCGGCTCTCAACTACCCAATGATGACTGCGTGGGCGTCTGTGGAGCCAAGGGCTTCGTGGGCTTGATGTTGCATGCAATACCTCCAATCTTTTCCGAACCCAAGGCGCGATGATGTCTGGTATGAGCCAGCCTGCGAAACAGAGCAGGCATGTGGAGGAACTTGCCTGTTTCGGGAAATGTGCACAGCTTCGATTTCTTAGCACAACGGCATGGACGAACAAGAGTCAAAGAAGTCCAGCAAGCTGGTCTAGCATGAGAATCTCTCATTCACCTGTCGCATGTTCCGCTAGGAGCCCTACTAAAGCCAGATGTCTGGATTTCCGGGGATGGTTGGGGTGCGCAGGTTACTGGACAAAAGACAAGCCAAACATTGCAATCAAAGGTACCCCTTCAAGCCCCTCCACAGTTGCACAGCATGGCTCAAGCTGCTTTAAGGATCTAGTCCCCCTTAAGTTAAGTAGTTAGAATATGGGGTATATGGGATTCTTATCCTAATTTACCCAAAACCATATTCTATCTACAAAAGGGGGTCGAAAAAGCCACGCGCCTCTCACGTAGTTCCGCGCGACTACCGCAAATCTCATCTCCAGGATCCCGCCGCTGTCATATCCTGCACCCCGACAATGCTTTTTCTAGGGATCCATGGGCCCCTATAATGGAGAATCAAATGGAAAAGAAAATGGAAAATGACATGGAAAGTGAGGTTATAAAGGGGCTGTCTAGAGATCCAAGTATACAAAAAATACCTACATTGGGCCCTAAAGTTTGTAAATATGACCTGCATTGGGCTATTCGGATCTTTGGGGAATTCCCGACTCCAGTGCTGAACTGTGTTGGGCATGGAGCTTGGGCCGAGCATTTTGTTCTCTACGACAACCACTTTTCCTAATAACAAATACAACTAGTATTAGTCTGTATAGTACCATGGAGAGGAATACTTCTTATTATGGCTTAATGATGGCAGCTGGGCAACTGCTCATGATTGCGCACAATGACTTAAAGCTGCGACGTGTCCGCAAGCGCGGTAGTTTTCTCAGGCATTCTGAGGCAACCACGAAAGTCCGCCAAGATTTAGGGCTTCCCAGCTCCCGAATATAACAGACCCAAGACATGCCCCAATTGAAAACTCCATAAAACTTCTATGTGGGGCCCAAGGCTTGCATGACGGGTGGGCTGTTACCTTGGGGATCCTGGTTGGGCAGACTTGATATGACGGGTTGAAGGGCGTAGGGGCCCCAAACCGTGTCGGCAATTACCAACTGCCCAATCTACGCGCCATTTCCGGATATGAACTGGCATGTTGTGCAAACAAGGTCGTCGGATATACATTTCTCAAAACAAGCCCTAGGGATCCAAATGGCCCCATGCAGGATTTACAGACTTTAGGGCCCAATGTAGGTATGATTTGTATGCTTGGATCTCTAGGGAATGTAGAGCCAAAGGTTTATGCCAAGTAGCGCTGCGGGCCTGTAGAGGAGAATCTCCGCACAGCAGCCCTAAACCCTAATCCCAACTTCCAGTACCTGTCATCCTACGGAAGCTTCTCAAATAAGGGGGGGTCTACTCCCAGGGCCAGGAACAACCTGAAAAGGCAATGAGAAGCACAGGTGGATCATGGTGGTCCTAATTCAGGATGTTCATAGGGATCGTTTTGAAAAGGCCGTATGGATGTTATCCGAGTCCTTGCAAGATTGTAGGGTGTATGGTTTCAGGTTTAGGGTACCCAAAACCAACATGACCTCACATGGTGTCCTGTGATGAAACTCGCAGGGACGTCGAAAACCCAGTAGCTGAATATCACATAGGCCATGATCTCATCACAGCAGTGGCTCTGTGGGATTTTCAGGCCATAAGATCAGTGTGTCTTGCTCCCTTGTGCGCGCATATCATACAAACAAAGTACGCACCAAGACTAGCATAAGATTGGGGCTAGGGGATTCGCAGCATGCACCTTCGTGACTGTCATGCTCAGAGCGACCGGTCGAACTATGAGACTCAAGCAAATGATCCCGGAGTGCCAGGAGCAGTTTCTACTTAAGGTGACTCTACCCGCGGCCTCAACTGCTTAAGTTCTACGGCTTATGCCTGTACTTACGAATGTTTAGGGTTAAGGGGTTAGGGTACATATTAGCGAGAAATGGGCGCCAAACTGAGAGTATTAGGGTTGAGGACATCGCATTGGCAAGGTACTTGCAGACATTGCAAAGGATACCGCTCGATGAAATAAGCCAGGCCGCATCCAGGATTGTTTGCATTGTCTCACCCATGTCCTCACTCTCTACAAGCCAGCACTTGAAGAACATCTACACCAAGACCCTCCGAGTGCCTTCATCATGGACTAAATACCCCGAACCCCAAAATCCTGAACCAACATGGTAGTAAATTCCATGAATCCGGGGACACCAGTATAGACGCCAAAATAATCCCCATTACAGGAACCCCTCAGAAGGTACCCCTAGCTTGGGCAGCCCCAATTCCTATGAACATCTTCGGATCATTGGGGAAATAACTGCACCCTGGTTTAGGGAACCCTTCCTAAAGGAGCCCTAAACCCTAAACCCTCCTAAACCTTAAGCTCTAAACCCTAAACCCTAAGTCCCCCAAATGAGCTCTAGTCCCCCGCAATAACCCCAATCGTAGTCCCTTGTATATTCCCTAGTATAACTTCCGTTTTAGGAGTTTTGCCTATAGCTCAAAATGGGGGTACCTAGAGCATTGCTTCAATGAGCTTCATGCCACGGCACCAGCCTGAAGCCGTCTACGCACTACTCAAAGCCTCCTATGCAGTTCCTTTTGGGTTTGTTATTTTTTTGGTGGGGGATTGTAGCATAGTACCCCAACCCTAAACCCAAAACCCTAAACCCAAAAGGAAATACATAGGAGGCTTTGGGTAGGATGGCCAGGCAACCGTGAAGCCGGCTTTGAGTCTCGGGGTTTAGGGCTTTTAGTTGCGGGCATTTCGGCCATAATAGAGGGTAGTCCAGATTCAAGTTTTGGGGGGTTCGGCTTCGGTTGTGGCTTTTTGGGCCATAAAGAAGGGAAGTTGGAGGGTCTTGGCTGAAACGTCCCTAATTCAGAGCCCGAACTCCCCCCGGAATCTGGCGAAACTCTTACTTACGCCCTAGCCTTACACACCTTGGCCGTCCTGCTTAAGGGGCTCCTATGCCCTTCCTTTCTGGGTTTGTTATAGCTTTGTGGCGAAGGATGATCATATACTGTGCTGCCCAAGAAGGAGCTACCTTCAAGGTTCTGGGTACTCGATAGCTCAAAAAAGTTCGCCCCAAGTCAAGTGGCGAACATCTGCAGCGGAATGAAGATAAGGTCCCAACCTCGCCGGCTCAGCTCATCATGACTGTAGCCGACAGAACTACAAGCGCGGCTATCCAAACTTCCACGACACGACATCCCAGAAGTATTGGTGCCTGTGATTTTGGAGTTTTCGAGTGGTATGGATACGTGAATCTTCCATGCTCGTCTCGCTTGTCTGTGGCACTCCATACTACATCTGCCAATCCCTGGGCTTCCAAATCCATAAATAAAGCCGAATTTGAGACTGCAGGTCTAGAAGTAATGCCTACATTGGGCTATTTGGAGGCCTAAGGAATGCACGTTTTGCAGGGAAAGGGGCTGTCTCATTTAGATTGAAGGAACACCCATGTGCGCTGGACATGTGGCCATGGTCCATGCCCTATCTAGAAGTCTTGACTTGACAACATGAAAATTTAGAATACCGACCTACCGACAACAAAGCCTCGTTGCTCTAAACCCAAAACCTTAAACACCTAAACCCTAAACCCTACCTAAACCCTAAGCCCTCAACCCCTAAACCCTACACCCTAAGCCTTTTCCCTAACCCATGGAGCGAGGACAATCCCAAAATACTTAGAGAGAGGAAGCCCTCAACCCCGAAACCTTAGCCCATAAACTCTGACCCCCTAATCTCTTAACCCCAAGTCCCAAACAAATAACACGTATACATATATGTATATATATATATAGGTATACACACATTTTATCATCGTTCTAGATACATTTGTCTTTAGCATCGGGCTTCCTGCTTTTGTGGTCTATGTTGACCCCCTTAAACTTATGGAAGCCCCCACATGATTAATGGCCTCCAACATCCCACGTCAATAGCCAAGGCCCTTTACCTCTGCTGGTAAACCTTGTAAGTTGGTTAAGACTGTAGTAAGCAAATTAAGATCTATTTCCAAGTACCCCTGAGTCACCCCCTGGGGTCCGTGCAGATTGCCTCAGCTGGCACCGCATCAGAATGTGTTCAGGCGCAAGGAATGGTCACGTCTGGTTTATAGGGTTCTGACTTGGGTCAATCCCCCACCCAGTAATGCATACCACAAGGGGCTCTTGAGCTAAACTAAGGCCCTATTAACTCCATATCTAAGGGCTATTACTGTAGGGGGGTTGACCCAAGTCCCAACTTCAGTAATATAGTAAGGTTTTGCAAGGTGGATTCTTGCGAGAATAAGGGTCCCCCTTATACTTATACTTTTTAAGCCCTAAAGCCCAAGCCAAAAACCCTAAACCCTAAACCCAGGCCAACAGGGACCCCCAATGCTTTGAAGCCCGGGGGTTGGACCTGCTAGCTCACGGCGTCCTGAGACCCATGAACAAGAAGACTTTAGCAAATCTGACTCCCGAAGCTTGGGGCACGACAGTTGTCATATTAGCTATAGTCTAAACTCCTAGTATCCTCCTGAATATCTCCTGTAGTAGTCCCCGAAATAATCCCCTTTAAGGAGTTTAGACTATAGCTCATATGATAGTCATAAGGTCCTTGTTGCTTGGGATTGAGAACCCTGTCCCCTTAACCCTAAGGTTTAAAGGGTATACGTTGAATGCCAACTTCAGCTCGTTTTGGCATCTCCTCCTAAGGTAACCTTAAGGCTCCAAGTACCCAAATGTAAGGAGTCTAGCGCCCAAGTACAATTTCAATTATAGTATTCGCAACCCTTATTTGGGTACTTGGGCCGCACTTGGGCCCCCAGGGTAAATTTCTTGCAGTCGGGGGCGTTATGTCAGTTTTCTGGTTACTGTATTGATGCTTCGACAAAGATGCTAATGATACCGCGCGGTTTAAATTTGAGAAGCTGCCCCGAACCTGCACATGATGATATTCGCATAGGTCTCCTTCTTCAAGCAATACACAAGTTGCCACCTAGCTAAACCCTAAACCCTCTCAACGAAAGTACTTCAAAACAAGAAGCAACAACAAAGTCGAGTGACCAAAATGCCGAGAAAGTTCCATGCCATCCGCACGCTTCCTTGGTGTTTCGTGGCTTTACGGTTTATGTGACCTATAGTCCCAACTGCTCGTATTCCCCTTAACAAGCCCCTATGATAGTCCCCTAAAGACTCCCCTATATGACCCCTTTAAGGAGCTTAGACTGTAGCTCATATGGCTTAGGAATTAGGATTTAGGGTGTCGGCTCAGTTCACAGGGTCCACCGCTGTTGTATTGGCCACTGAGAAATGGCCTGCTCCGTGCCAGCTCTGTGTCACTCCTTGTCTGACGCTAAGCTGCAAATCGACCTGACATGTGTGCTGCGGCTTAAGTCAGTTGTGCACTGCTCCTGTTAGCAAACATCGGGAAATTCAGGTAAAAATTGCGTGCCAAGGTCCTGGCATTACCACAGTGCAGAACACACTCAGTGGCGATGATAGCCGCGTGACTACGTAGAAGTCGAGCTACCCTGCATACAGGAACCCAGCAAACCCAACCCGAAGTCGTGTCGCGTTCCGAACCAGCATGTAGCCTTTCACAGGTCTCCTCGTGACATGTCATAAACAAGTGGGTTTAGGGTTTAGGGATGATCCCGGGCCGTGGCCCCCCCAAGCTTTTTGAACCCTACCGTATTGGGCTTGGCACGGTCTTTTGGTTATGGTTCTCATCAGGATCCCCGAACAAGGAAGTACATGTGAGGCTCCAGATAAACTCTAAACCCTCCATGAATTCCCTAAGGGACAAGTATCCAAATACGAGGGGGTTAGGGCCCAAATACTACGTAAATTCTAGTATTGGGAATCCCAAAGCCCATTATATGGGTACTCGGACCCTTACCGTGAAGGTCCATGCGCCTAACAATGGGTACTTGGGATGGATACTCATAATTGTCGTACCAGTAGGTGCTCAGTTTTCAAACTGCTTGCCCCAGCACAGCCAATGGGCATGTGTCGTTGCTTTCTACGGGGATGGTTCTGGAGCTTGCTATCTATACATTCCGAGAAGGGCTTAGGATTTTAGAGTTGAGGCTATAGGGTGGTTTCGGGCTTTAGACTTTAAGGTCTAGAGCTTATAACTGTTAGGGGAACCGATGTAGTATCAAGTAGAGCTTCAATACAAGGAACTAGTAATTAGTGTGAGACGTGCTTGCATCCGCCAAAGCCCTAAACCCTAAACCCTAGATATTGGGGGAACCTTCTGGGCCCGTTACATCGAGCTACAAAAAAAGTTCAATCCTCTCCCGCTCATATTCAACCCCCCCCATCCCCCCTGATATTAGATACTCCGAATATACTACAAGTATATACCACAATGGGCAGTATTTACCATTAGGGGGGCAGGGGTGTTAAAATTAGGGGAGGGGATTACGGTCAAGGGTCTTTTTAGGGCTCAGGGCTTTCCACAACGTGATATCCGCTGTATGGGGCACATACATGACGGAGGTCACACTTGAGTAGGTTTTGCAAAGGTGAATACAGGCTTCGAGACATTCAGAAGCCCCAAATCGCTAATATTGAGACCTTAACGTTGCTCTTTCCAGCAGACTTCGCTTGCCGCCAAACGGGGAT